TGTCGATGAATATAAAAGTTTCGGTCACCACAGAATACAATACTTGTTTTTAAATCATATCCAAGACTAGTGCCTAATTTTGCTATAAATAATTCCAAGCCTGATATTATTATCAGGCAAAAGAATTACTAATTCACAATTAAACTCAAATCGATTTAAGAAGATCAATAGACTAACGTTGAAGAAAGCAGTTAAAAAATGTACTAATATACTACATACGGCCGGAATATACCTTCTAAGCTATTATTTACTGACAACAACCACTCGTTTTCCACATTCTTCCATATGTACTGGAGGTCAGAGGTTAAACCCACTAGTTTTCAACCTTCGTCTCTATGGAGAGATATCCGCTTGAGTGACCGAGTAGGCAAGAGTCTCAACTAGCAAGTCAACGGTCGTGGGTTCAAATCTCAGGTGCGGTAGAGCCCTAGATGCTAGTGCTTTTAAGTCTTTAGTCTTAGAATTGATACTCTGGCTAAATTTACAATAATAATAACAATAATAATATTAATAATATATGGAGATATATGTCAAAACTAATCTATAGTCTTAAGACGATGAAAACTATTTAACCATTATTTGAATTCTTAGTGCTACAAAAAGAAATTAATCAGCCGCCACGTTTGGTATTTGAAAGATACCAATATTTTATGCATACTTTTTATTGCACTAAACGTGAGCTAGTATTTCAACGGCCGCACGTTTGAAATATCATGATGCAGAAAAAAAATATCTATTAATTTCATCTGATTTGCAAAATTACGCCATTGCTTGTCTAACGAAGACAAAGTGCAACCAAGAAATATTGCTTGCGAAGTTAAAAGTTTTTTAATAATGCAATCATAGCTTTCGTACGTTTTAGGAAATCTGCTTTTATGGTTTTTCCCCATAAAACCGTATATTATTGAAGCAAGATTCGCTTAACACTCGACATTCTCACACGTTTATGCTTTAAATATGGATTCAGATTGCTTTATGTGTTATAAAATCACATCGTTCTTTAGTCGTATAAAAAACCTTCTTCTGAAAAGTTTCTAAACTTTTTATACATACTTTTTTTTTAAAAATGTTTTAATAAATTTTCTTTTTTTTATGAAATTCTTTTCATACAGTGCAAATTATCAAAATAAGAAAGTTGTTCTTTGATTTAACTTAAATGATTATCTCTACTGGCTAAAGTAAAAGCTTTCTAGCGGAATTATATGCTTATGTATATGTAAGTGCATATGCATTTGTGTATGAATGTATTAGATATATATATATATATATATATATATATATGTATGTGTGTGTACGTTTGTGAATGGCGATTGTGAATACCTTACCTTGTTTTCACACTTTGTTGCACATTGTTTTGCGTCCTTTGATACGGTTTTCTATTGAAAAACTTTAAACAAATTCAACAAGTTTCCCTTAAGTGCTTGTGTGTTTAAAGTGTGAACTGAACGTTTCTCATTCACATATATAATATTTTTAAAAAGTTTCACTTAATTACAACTTACGCGTCCGTACTCAAGTTTTATTTTCTTATTTATTTATTTTTTATTCTTTTTTTCAAACGTTTACATAGTGAGTCAAAAGTTTAAGAAAATCTGAATTCTTGATTATATTTTAATTCTTTGAAAGCAACGACGTAATTTCTAGTACTTATAAAATCTTCCTTAATCATCCAAAATATGTTTTCCGCTTCAAAAGATGTTGACAATAGATAAAAAATCAATTAACCCCAAAGGAAGAAAGAGAATTTTACAATTTTTTTTTATTTACCGACAGACTTGGAAGAAAAAACCCTTGAAAACGTAGAAAACAAAATTCTTCATATGGCTTAACGAGGCACCCGTGATTAACTAAAAACTTTTAATTTTAATTAAAACACAAATGAACGATTTTTCAATGATTTTGAGAGCTTCAGAAAAACACCATTGACACGATAGCTTTCATCCTCCATACATTACATTTAATTCGTTAAAAAATTTAATATGTTTCCAGCGATCGGTCGGCAAGCTTTTGCATATCCGTGTCCGCTGAGTTCACTCGAAACATTTTTGAAAGCACAGTTTCTACTTCACGTTTGTATGTGAGGGCGGTCCATTTTTATCATTACTTTCGCCTTGACAAAGGCGTCGGAGGCCTTTAAACGTATAAGAGTCTTGTATGGATTCTAAGCGGAATTCTGTGATCTCATGTATATAGCTTAGGCATGTAAATTAGAATAAGCAAATCTGTTACCAAATCAATCCTCTGTAGCCTTTGCTATCCATTCTATTTTACATTGCGGAAATGGTAGGCACGCGGTAGAGTGCAGACGCTGCTATCAAATTGCCTCCCTTATCCTTTTCATTGAGCAATATTGGAATGGTGCACATACGACACTTGTGCCTGATTGTCTTCTGGCGTGCAAAAGGATAACTCTTCTCTAACCTTTCCGCCATACAGCACGGGGAAAGCAGTCGCATGGCAGCACGCAGGCGCTACAGCTTGAGAAGGAGTTATCATTCTTTACCGTTTCCATTGTATAGTAGAGGAGACGAGTGACATACACCGTCGTGCAGACGCTCCTGTCTAATTGTCTCCCGACCTGAAAAAGGATTAGCCTTCCATATCCTTCCTCTCGTATAGCGCAGTGATAATAGGCACATGCCGGCAGCCAAGCGCTGCTGACTGACTGGAAACTGTTTGTACCCTTTGACTCCTACTGTTTTGTACCCTTTGACTCCTACAATACGGAGACGGTTGATGTAAGCTATCTTGCAGACGCTGTTATGTGACTATTCGTACGCCAGAGTTATGTTCCATGGAGTACATACATGGAGAGAAACATATTTGCTTGTTTGTTGAATTATTCAAATTTTAATTGCAACAGTTACGATCAATCCAGTTTTCAAACTAGCGTTATGCTTGAAAATGCACGCAAATACGGTCGACCAATCAAGCTTACAGATACCCAGTTCTCGTGATAAGACCACTCTTTTTCCTACCATAGCAAAACCTTTTTATGTTGTTACATACATTTAATTGTAATTATTACGGCTGCTGTCATATGACCCTTACAAATTTCTTGGAAAGAATTTCTGAAGGTAGCTCTTAGTCAAACCCCAACTCGGAGGCATCGCTACAAATCCAAAGAAAATATTTTAAATGCAAAACATATATGAAATCGAAGTTTTGTAAACTTTTTTCATGAGACGACCTATACGCTCTCCATACAGAGTTGATAAATACGCGTAAAGCTAACGAGACAAGAACCTTACTTGGAATCCTATCCAACACTATTCACTTACTAAGTTTCTTTTTAAACTTGATAATATCCGACCCAAAAAGGGGCCCAGTAGGGAAAGGATCTCGACTAATCGCTCAATAGTCGTGGGCTGAAATCTCAAGTGCGGTAGAGTTTTCAATTAAGGCGTCAGCCTTAGATGCTAGTGCTTTAAGACTTTAGTCTTAGAACTTATATCTCCGGCTAAATTACTTATAATAATAATAATAAGAATAATAACATGTTAATAATATACAAGTGTACTAATTTTACTTGATCGCACAAAATTCAAAAAAATTCATTCATCTTCTAAAACATATTAATCTCATCCTCTTAGGCATGAAGACTTATTATACTTATTCCATTTGTTTATAGAAAATAAGACAAATGTATTCAATTTAAATTAAATTTTCTTCACATATATATAATAAAATCTTCATCACTAAAATAAATGCACACACACACACACATGTGCATATATGATAAAATCATAAATAAAGGAGAAGCCAACCTTCAGATAAAACGCTCAGTAAAACGTGTCATAAAAATTTATAAAAATAAAAGGAAGAAAACAAATAAATCATAATGAAATCCCGCAAGTCAGTTAAAAACTTCGTAACTACTAGCGAAAAAAAAAAAAAACAATGTAAACATATCAATAAAACAAAACGGACGGAAAAGAACACACAGTTACCTTATTTGCCATAAAACGAACCATCAATGCTCACTACCTGCCATCTAATGTAAAGTTCAAATTGTTGCACCTAATAGCAGGACCCTATTAGTCCCAAACGTTTGCAGGTATAGCGGTGCAACTTGAGTCACTGCATAGCAAATATGAAAATGTTGATCTCTCCTCAGTATTTTATGCAAAATATTTGTATAGCTTTGGAAAATGCTTGCATTACTTATGAAAACACCAGCCGTTACATATTAGTTAGTTATTTTAAGAACACTTTACTCCCTTTTTTTTGGAGGTTTATAATGGGTCTTTTTTATTACTGTGTCGAAATCGTTTTAATATACAAAACTCAAGGGCCCAAGAACTTTGGTGATGTGCAAACATACAGCCAAACTTCCACATTTAACAGATAACACAGGCAATAGACGGACGAGTTCGTTTAGGTCGATTCGAAACTTGATGCTAATCAAGATCATACATACATCTTATACGACTTTTCTTTATTTTCGACGCAACAAAAGCTTTCACAAATTCGATACACTCCCGTTCCTAAGTAAAGTCCATAGAATAAGAAAACTTCTATTTTGATTCTGTATACACTTTTATAAATATATGCAAAGTTATGAGTGTGTACGTGTTTGGCTATGTGCGCACTAGAAAAGTTATGTAGAAAAGACGGCGGCATACAAACACAATTTCCTTGATATATATCAATTTAATATGATATCGCTGCGCTTGAGAATCGAAACAACTATTTCCCTGTCAAGTTATAAAAAAAAAAAAAATAGAAAAAGAAAAGGAAGAAACGTTGTGTTGAAAGCAGAAGAAAAACATTAACTTTGCAATTCATACGTATACTTAAACGGGAAAGGAAATGAAGTAAACATGAAATAAAGAGTAAAACAAAAATTGATTTTGTTCTCTTCTCCACTTTTTTCCAACAGAAAGAAAAGTGGGCGGACCTTGGAGAAAATCCCATCAGAACATTTACTAATTAATGACTTAAATTATGTTTTTATTAATGTCATATAATAACAAAATCAAGCTAAGTAAACTACTTACATGATCCGTGTGGCGTCACGTTGACGAACATTTTCGTCACGATTTAATACTTCGATAATCATTTTGCGTTCATTCTCAGTTAGATTTTCGAGAACTTGGGATGTGGCAACAGCCAACTCAGGCCCCAAGGCATCTATGGTCTCGCCAGGGATACCTTCGGTGGCAACATCAACTCTATTGATTAAGCCGCCGCCGTCACCGTCAACACTGCCACCATCGCCGACAACAGCACCACTGCTTATGCCAATTATGGGAGTCATATTGATTCTGGTCGTTATACTGTTGCTAATGTTATAGGAATTCATGACATTATTACTATTGGGTTCACGTAGAGAAACAGATGCTGTTGACAACAATGCTGAAGAGGAGGAAACCGTTGCATTATTGGTGACAGCCCATTGTTTATTATTGGGGGCATTGGGTGTGGGGGGCAAACGAGCACTGCGACCACTTGACATAATCATAAAATAAAAAACCAAACTCTGCTCAACAAAAGCTAAATATATTGACGGCGAAAAATATTGCACAACCAGCACCAACACTACCACAAGTCGAGAATGTCATAAAATTATTTTGCAATGCTCTTTATTTATTTATTTTTATTTTTGTTGCTGTTGATGTTGTTGTTTTTTTTTTTTTAATTCTTGCAATTGTTGTATATTTTATATTTTAATATAACGTTTTCGCGGATAACTTTTTTGTTTTAGGAAAAACACTAAACAATTCGTTAATTTCCTCGAATGTGAGGAGCATTGAGGAGCGCAACTATTCATTCATTATACGCGTTAAATATTTTGCATGTGCTCTTGCTGATCGAATGGTGAACTGTAACGAGAGCAAAAAAGTGAAAAGAAGATTATAATTCATATTTTAATATAACATAACTTTTAATTATTTATTTATTTTAATTTTTTTTTATTTTTTTTTAAGTCTTAATCAAGAGTATAAACTGACTTTTCGACAAACTATTTTTTAATTAATTTTATGAAAATATTATCTTTGATTTTCGCGCAAAAAGCTCATAAACTTGGAAAAATAAGTGATATTAAATTCGCACACATGAGTGCCTGTACGGGCTTATCAGTTATTTACGCTTTCAAACATATGCTGTAGATACTCATTCGTCTAGAAAAACTGCATATTACGCTTATATATATATATATATATATATATATATTCATCAGGGAGCAAAAATGAAGAAAAGGAAAGAAAGAGCTTTAAAATTGAATTTCAATGTATGTATGTGGTGACACAACAAACCCAAGATGAAAATTTCCTTCACTTTCACTTACATCCTACAAAAAAGGGAAAATCAACCATCCCCACTTGATATTATAGAATATAGAAATTTAGTTTCATTGTTTTCCGTAGGTAAAAAAGATTCCTTCACAGTCGAATATAATTTGTTTACTTGTTTTATTTACCTTTGCTTGACGAAGCTATTACGAAGCTTTATATCAAAAAAGAATTTGAGTTTTTTTATGTCTGCTCCGATGGCGCAAATCTGCTATCGATATAATTAGGCCATTAAGGGGCACATCTACATAGGTGTAATAAGTCTTTTCTCTATTCTCGATTAATGTTATTATTGTTTACATCATTTTAGTTCATTCGCCTATGGGTATTATAAATTTTTCAAGTCACAAACGTAGATAATTGAAAATATGCTCACATCGTTTAAAACATACGCTTATAGGAGTGAACTAAGAATGTCGTTAATGTTTCAAAGATTTGTATGTTAAAGCAGACGCTTCGAACGAAACTTAGATATCGCGCCCCTCAAGACAAAAGTGTGCCAAAATAGAATAAGATATGTATTTCGAGAGCTAATAAAAATTTTAATTTATTCAAGTCACATCGGTTTACTGGGAAATGAGCAGGCTGATCGAGCGGCAAAGTATGCTGCTTCTGCTCCTCTAATTATGGATGATGTCATGGAAAAGTTGGATCTTCAAAGATACATTGGAAGAAAAGTTAAAGAGAAAATTGCAGAAGGAAATTTACAATACCATCGTCAACACTACTCTTGCATTAACCTTCAATTAACTCCACCTCTATATCCAACAAATGTTGAGAAAACCAAGATCCAAACATTTTCGAGAATTCGCCTTGGTCATACAATTGCAACTCACCAATGGATGCTGAAGAAGTCTTCTCCCCCAATCTGCTGTTGTGGACAAACTCTTACTATAAAGCACATTCGCTGCGACTGCCTCAACTTTTCCTTGGCTAGAAGTATTGCATTTGGAACGATTAACCCTTTGAACATTCTACAATCAGCTTCAGAGCAGAATATCAATTCAATATTTTACTTTATTAATACTACTAAGCTTATTATCTAATATCCATTTATTTAAATTAGAGCCGATAGCCTGTGTTGCTAGTGCTCAATGTGTCTTTTTTTAGTCTAAGAATTCAATTCATTAGTCTAAAATTAAAATAATAATAACAATAAAAATAATTTATTCAAAAATGAGAAATTTCCGTATAAAAAGTATATGCAAGTATAGACTACAAAATATTTTTAAGACATTTTTTTTTACAACAAAATAGATATAAAATACTTTTTGCTAAACATTATCCATCGTTAGTTACTATCTTTCGTATTTATCGGACTTGATATGGTTTATTTGTCGAAAGAAAGCGATGGCAGAGCCGAGACGCTACTCAAGCAGAAGGTAAGCCAAACACAACAGAAGTGCTAGTATATACCAGTTCAGTGCGACGAATGCGTTCTTATGGGAATTACCAAATGAAGTTATACGTCGTCGTGCAGAAAAAAAGAGTCTATAACACAATTTTTGTATTGTAACCGTTTTTCGTTGTTAATGTTCCTTAGAGATGAATTCATTTGATTGTGGGCCACTAAATTATACCACGTCAAGATTATGTTCCGTTTATTGGGTCTTATCATCTGTGTTAATGATTCCCCGCACCTGTACTATTGTTTCATTCGCTGCGAATGCCGTAAAAGTAAGGCTTTCTGCGTCTACATCATCTACCTGTCAGGAATGTATGTATGTTTACAGAACCCAAGAGCAACATATAGGGAAAATGTAAAAATTATCCAATTAAGACTCAGATATGGAAATCTGAAAGCGAGATTTGCCCATAGGTGGCCCATGCAATCGGAGTCATTAAAGCCAAATCGCGTCATGGTCGCCATTTTCTCGTGTCGATATCTTGCAAAGATTTTTCAACTCACAACAACACCATGATGTGCAATAGTGTTGAGCATATAGAATTTTATGCTAAAAAAATAAAAGGAGCATTCTTCGAAAGCATTATTTTTTCCACGAAAGCTTCAAAAGGAATTCTTTTTCGCACCATATCGTCACTGGAGATGAAAAGCGAATTTATTTTGAAAATCGCAGACGAAAAAATTCATAGATACAACAAATAACGAACGAGAAGCCGAGTAGCCGCAGTAGCAAGAGGATGCTACTCTGTGTTTGATAGCACAGGAAGGGTGTGGTTTGTTTAAGTCTGATGTAATGGTTAATAACAAACACTGCTAACAGCAATTAATTGACTTCAAACGGTTAGAATATTGAAAAAAAAACAACACAAGTTGTTAGACAAGTGAAAAAATATGTAGCTGGAGATGGGCCGTAATTCGAATAACATATTTTTTATCATTCGCACACATGCAAACGTTTATTTCCTATACTAAGTAACGATCTCATATTTACAGACCTATGTATTATAAAAATCTCAATGCTGCTCTACATTCTCCTTTTGACAAAGGAAATCTGTATCGAATTGGGGAAAGGAATTTTCGCTTTTGTATTTTAGATCAAAACATACCATAATTAAAACTTTGTCAAAAGGATTAGTAAATTTGCTAGATTTGAGAAAAAAAAAACAAAAAATTATTTGATTGCGTTTTGATTTTTACAGGAATTTTTATTTTTGCTTTTGTTGTTCTTTTCTCTTGCATTCCTCTGGATGAAAGACTATTGCTTTTTTATGCATTTTTCATTCCCTTATTGGAAAAATTCTGAAGGTATTTTCTTATTCTTTGTTTTGCATTAAATGACGTACAAAAACAAACACACACATATACACATGCAAACATACTAATATCGAATATCGGATTTTTTTTACTTCTCTGTTCATTTCCTTATTGACCTTAGATATTCGCTGCGGTGAATGGGTGGGATGCTCAAAGAGATTAAATTTGAAATAATACATTGTTTACATTGTTTCAAAGCGCACGACACATATATGTAAATGTCAACAATGATGGATGTTTGCATAGCGTAATAACCGTTTGCTATAAATGAAAGTGGGAAACAAACAATGATTGACACAAGTGTTACTTTAATGGCATTTTAATGGATTTTTAAATACAAAGTTTAATAAAATGTGAAAATTCCCCACACCTACATGTAGGCGGATGGATCTCGCTTATACACCTACCTGCGTACGCACATTTATGTACGTTTAAGCATCAATAACTGCATGCATTGGTGTAATAAATATTTAATTACAACGCGTAGCTCGGCTTAAATTCACTTTATTACAGTGCACTGCAATAAATTTATGCTCAACTTAAAAGTCAAATGCATGTGTGTTCTCTTTCTCTCCCGTTTACTCCAATAAAACAAAAATTTTATTAGAGTACATCTTTTTTATCAAATGCAAAGCATGTAACATGTGTATCTAAGCTTACAAGAAGCCACCCACCGCAACGAAAGGCCCACAGAGGACATAAAAAACAACAGCACACGAACAAAGCACAATAGACACGCATATGAATAAGAATCCCTACTAAACTGTAGCTGCTTTGTATTGCTAACAAGTTAGTGCGGTTAGGTAGATATGATGGCTTGGATGTGAATGCTTTCCACCAAGGATTGAACTGAATTTGGATTTTTTTTTTTTTTTTTTTTTTTTGTGTTTGTGTGTGTGTGTGTGACTTTTTCTCCCTGAATCCAGTGCAGATTTTCTCTTATATTTATGTTGTTCTCTAAGCCACAATATATGTGTACACAATATGTGCGTTCGCATTAATGTTAGTGTACACCTTATGGTTTCTCCCTGTTTCCATTGCTTTATGAGACTTATATTCCTCCGTCTGCTATACAATAGTTGCCTTTTTATCTACGCGTGTATTGATTTGGTTTTCTTCATAACTGTTAGAAGCTAAATCTAGAAATGTGTGATGGAAATGATAAGAACCTTGACAAGAAGCAGAATAATAATAAGTTTGTAGTCGCTTTTCAAAACTAACAATAGAGATAATGGATTGCGTTATACCGGACATAACGATGCTGTCTGTGTCACCACTATCTATCTCTTATGCTATTGGAAAAAGACATAAATTTCTTGTCGCTTGCATTTATCTCTTTCCTCTATCTACCTATCTATCTATCCATCAATGTTTTATTTGAATTTTTATGATCACAAAAATTACTTCCCAGGGCTACTAGTTGTTTTTTTTTTTTCGTATTACTGGTTCCATTTCACAAATTAAAATAAAAGATGGATGTTATCGCCAAGCAAATATGACTGTAATTAATGGCTGTAGAAGTGCTGGAAAATTTTCGAAATTTTGAAAAGTCTTTCTCTATAAAAGATATCGAAACTAAATTTGATTAGACATAAGCAAACATCATGCGTTAAATTGGCCTCGTTCGATATTCGTTTGCTCGGTGTACGTATGACAAACTAAAAAGTTACCTTACAGCAGCTGTCCACTGTTACAGAGGAAACATTCAAACGACTTTGTCTTAATTACTTAAGCTTAAGACAGTTTCTATCAAAATTTAAAAAAAAAAATTTTTCTTTTCACTTAATTTTCGCTTTTTTCTTTCCTTTAC